TTGATATTTAATTATATTTAGATATCATGCAAGGTAAGATCATTCATAAAATAGTTAAATTAAGATAACATATTTTAGATTTTAAATTATTCCATAAGTAAATACGACAGACATACGTACATGCACAAAACTAAATATTGTAATTTATATATACCAACTCCAATGACTATTCATTATAAAATTCAATATTTAACATACTTATTCTCTACCTTCAAACTAAAAAAAACATCATACTTTTTCAGACTAATCGATTCTACTTACAAACTAAAATAATACATATCTAATCTTAGAACATATTATATACACACAATACGAAAGCTAAGTATAGTTTACAACATATAAAATGAATGTTCCCGCACAAAGTGCGGGTGAAAATCTAGTTGTTAAAGATTACACTAGACTTCTTCAAAGTCAAAGTTGTGAACAGATCAAATCAAACAAAATTCCCTTTTTATAAAAAATAAAATTAAACCAAAGTGCTATGATCCACCGTAGCGCAACCACTATTACACCCCCCGTGGATTTCACAACCAGACGTTGACTGACTCAATCCCACCATATATTTTCACACACAAAACCTTTTCTCCTCCTCCACTTGCATACCATGTTGAGATTCATATGGCAATCCTCGACACAAACCCAACCCAAACCCTTGTGTTTCTACTCCTCTTGCTCTTGTTCCATTCCGTACCGTTTGGATCCGGTCAGACCACAACACGTCCCCAACAAACCCAATCCAAAGCCAACGACCCTGTTGTTGTAGTAATCACGGTCATGTTCTTGATCATCTTTGTTATGGTCTTCGGTTCTATCTTCTGCCGTCGAAGCTCCGCAGCGTTTTACTCGCGGCCTTCCGTTTTCCGATCCACCGACGCGGATGCCGAATCGCGCGTCGTCAGAATCAGTAGGACGACGGCGCGTGGGCTCGAACCGGAGGTTATTGAGTCGTTTCCGACGTTTGTCTACTCTGAGGTGAAGACGGTGAGGATCGGGAAAGGCGGTGTTGAGTGTGCGGTTTGTCTTTGTGAATTCGAGGACGATGAAACGCTGCGTTTGATGCCTCCTTGTTGCCACGTGTTTCACGCGGATTGTGTCGACGTCTGGCTCTCCGATCACTCCACGTGTCCTCTCTGTAGAGCGGATCTTGTTCTTCAAGAAGGTGAGAGCTACTTGGTTCCGGATCCGGGTACGGTTTCGTCGGGTACGGATCTTGAGAGAAGGGTTGCTGTGGTATCTTCCGACGCGCATTTGCTAGACGGTGTGACGTGGACCAATAGTAACACAACTCCTAGGTCAAAGTCAACGGGAATATCTAGCTGGCGTATAACCGGTATTTTGTTCCCGAGATCTCACTCGACCGGACATTCGTTGGTTCAACCGGCAGGGGATCTCGACCGGTTTACGCTGAGGTTACCG